AATCTGATATAAGAAATTGGATGTGCATGGGTCTTTGATTTACCTTTCGAAGGGATATATCCATCTATACTGAACAGGACCACATAACTTCCCCTCATATGGCAAATGAATAGGTAAATGCTCCGTGGAGTTAAAGAATGTAGGGGGGAAGACCTTCTCAAGCTTGCACAGAATCTCAGCTATGTTTTTCTCCAATCGCTTCATGTCACCAACTGATGTTGTATAGCAACACAAATTGCAAAAGAATTGGCTGATCTCTGTTATTGCATTCCAAATATGGCTTGGGAGCAATTCCCTCAGAGCAGTAGGCAACAACCTCTCCATGAACACGTGACAGTCATGGCTTTTCATTCCGTGTAGCTTACATACTTGCATGTCTACGCATCTGCTCAGATTGGAGGCATAACCATCGGGAAATCGCAGCTGTTTTACCCACTCACACAAAACTTTCCTCTGAGCCTTGTCAAGAACGAATGGAGCCCTAGGCATGACCTCTTTTCCTCTGTCATCCTCCTGAAGATGAAGCTGCAGACGTTTACAATATTTGGCAATGTCATTTCGAGCAGATGTCGTGTCACATGTATGCTTTTTCACATCCATTATAGTGTGAATTAACTGATCGAAGAAGTTATTTTCATTGTGCATGACATCTAAGTTGTGACGAATACGCAGATGCTTCCAATACGGAAGCTCTCATAGGATGCTTTGCTCGAACCACCCCTTCTTTTCTTTTTTGAGGCGTTGAAGTGACTCGGGCCCATCTGTAGCCTTCGGAAGGTCTTTCACACATTCCCATAACTCCTCCCCTGACATAATGTGTGTAGGTGCACCCTTTTCGACTTTGTTTTTGCAGAATGCAGTCCTACTATTCCGAAATGGGTGATCAGTCAAAAGGAACTGGTAGTGGCAATCAAACCAAGAAACCTTACAACCATGTTTGAGCCAGAATGCTTTGCTTTTCTCCATGCAATATAGACAAGCCTTTTTACCAGATGTGGCCCAACCGAACAACATACCATAAGATGGGAAGTCACTAATAGTCCATAGGATGGCTGCTCGAAGAGTGAAATTCTGTTTCATTGCTATATCGTACGTATGCGCGCCTACTTCCCATAACTGTTTCAACTCCTCAATCAACAGTTGCATGTACACATCCAAGTTGCCCTTAGGGTTTTTAGGACCAGGAACGAGCAACGAAAGGAACATAAACTGTCTTTTCGTACACATTGAAGGAGGCAGGTTGTAAGGGGTCAAAATGATAGGCCAACAAGAATGTTGTCCCCCAAACTTGCCATGAGGAGCAAAACCATCTGTACACAAGCCAAGCCGAACATTACGAGGCTCGGAGACGAACTCTGGAAAGCAACTGTCAAGGTGTTTCCAAGCTTCACTATCACTAGGGTGTGCCATTGTGCCTTGAACTCAGGGATTTTGGAATGCCATGTCATTTCCTCCGAAATGTTCTTCGTTGTGACGAGCCTTTGCAACCTAGGTGTGACCGGGAAGTAAAACAAAACGTTCAAAGGCACGTCACTACCCTTGGAAGTCTGCTTGTATCGGTCGCTGCCACACACCCTACATGTCGACAGCTGAGCATCAGCCTTCCAAAACAACATACATCCTTTTGGGCATGCGTGAATCCTTTCATGAGGCAGTTCCAAGCCCTTCACAATCTTCTTCACCTCATAGAATGTGTCGGCCATATAGTTGTTGTTAGGAACTGCTTCACTAAGCAAAGAAACAAACCCATCAACACATCTGTGGGGCAGGTTATACTCGCACTTTAGACTAGTGATTCTAGCGGCCATCTCTAGCACAGACAACGAACTCCCTTCGTATAATGGCCGTTCAGAAGCCTTCAACAAATCCATAAAATTCTTAGCTTGTGCATTAGGCTCCTCCTCTGATGAAACACTAGCTTGCTCTGAATGCCCTTGGTCCTGACTATGACCAAAAGCATCGAAAACCATGTCACGGTATTCGTTGGACCGCCGTTCAGGAACTCTCGGAAACCCTTCCCCGTGACACATCCACTCATAGTAATTAGGTACAAACCCCGTGCGAAACAGATGAATTTTTACTGTTTCTGGATCCCAAAGTCGTTTGTTCTTACATTTAGCACATGGACACCTAACTTCGTACGGGTTACTACTCTCTGGATTATCTTTGACGTATTGAATGAATTCATCAACCCTTTTCACGAACTCTGGATTAATACTTTGCCCAACCCTCATTTCATACATCCAGCTACGTTCTGTTCGTTTCACGATTACAACTTCTACACAACTCACGCATATGTATAATCACATTAGTCATAAAGCGTATGTCATTTTCCACCAAAGTGTTATGGAAATGCAAATGAAATTTGAAATGCTTCCAAAGGGTCCTTATCACTCCAACCTAACCCATCCTTGTACGTTTAATCTCACTAGTGAATGTAAGCCAGGTTTTCAATTCTATGGAAAATCCGTCAGCATTTCCCTGCAGTTCTCCAAGTACATGATGTAGGCGAATAAACACACCTTCATATGTACCCAGAGAGCATTGTAGAGAAATGACAGGGCAAGATATTCCCTAGAATCAATAACAAGGCATACATTCACCACCTAAGTGAGAAATAGCGTACAAGGACAGTCCCAACCGGGGACTATTCAAGACATACTCCTAATGTGTATGCCTTGAACGGGTATCTAGGCATATGATTATGCAAATGATTCATTTACAAAATATATAAAGTAAAGGACACATGCATTATACTAAACAAATTTATATCATAATTAAACTGAACTAGTTTAACAATGCGCACAATTATTAAATATTATACTATACATTATACCAAACAAAATTATTAAACTAAATAAACTAACATACACTATATTAAACTAATCTAAACTAACATACATTATTATATTTAACTAAACCAAACTAAACTAACATATTATAATACAACAATTAACAACTAAACTTAAATAAACTAAACTAAACTAACAAATCATACTGCTACAACACATTCATTTGAAATATTATATTAAAATTTTTATGCACAACTTTTAAAACTTACTACATTATTATATTAAAACTAACTAAATTAAACTAAACTAAACTACAATATTATATTAAAACTAACTTAAGTTACCTAAACTAAACTAACTTGAGGAACACTAAAAATAAAATAAAATTGAGGAACACTAACCGAAATTAAGCAAGACGACGACAGCACGGCACGGCAGAAATGGTGGTTCCGGTCGGAGGCCAGCGGGAGGGTGGTGGTCCTGGTGGAAGGAGGGGGGCGGTTATTAACAAAATAAAAAATAAAATAAAAAACAAAACGAAATAAATGCCGCATAAAACTTACCAAAATCCGGCTTGCGGTGGTAGTGAAGGTGGTCCTGGTGGAAGGGGGGGTGCGTCGGCTTCCCCGTGGTGGCTGACCGGCCGCGGTGGCTGCGCATTTGAGGGAAGTGTAGCTTAGGGTTTGTAAAAAAAAAGAAAAAGGGAAAATGCAAATTAAGGTGGCTGACCAGCGGTGGTGGCGGCGGCTAGAAGTAGGGCGGCCCTCTCTTCCTCTTTCTCTCTCTCTATTTTTATGTTTCAGCACTAGAAATGGCGGATTTCTGGATCTGAAACGCGATTTGAATTAAAACTTTCCGTCGGAAGGACTTGGGAAATTGTTTGACTTTTTCAAAACATTTCCAACAGAATTCATTTCCTCGGAAATTATATATTCCGACGGAAAATTACCGAGGAAAAATTATTCCGTCGGAATTTTTCGGAGGGAATTTCCGTCGGAAATAAGCTTTTTCAGCGGAATTTTCCGACAAACCGAAATTCCGTCGGAAAATTCGAAATTTCCGACGAAAATTTGTTATGTCGGAAAAAATCCCTCGGAAATCAGCCTATTTCCAGTAGTGTTCGAATAAGTTCAGATTAGTTCAGTTCAGGAATATTAAGTTCTGATAAGGGTTGTCCAAGTTCAAATTACAACTAAAATAAGTTTTAATAAGTTCTAGTAAGTTCATGTAAGATTTGATAAGTAAAAATCAGGTGAATAGAACACATTCTTAGTGTTGAAAGTAAGGTAGCATGTGCAAACCATACGTAGACTACAAATATTTTTATGTGCTCTTAAGGAATTAAGGTAGCATGCCCCACATCATGAATTCATCACCCATGGTGCACAAATATTCACGATATAGATTAAACTCTACGTAGAATGGATCTCTTGAAAGAGTAAAACAATGTGAATCTCAACCAATAGTGTGTAGATTTGTTCTCTTATTCATTTAATAAAATCCTCTAGTTAGATGAAGGTTAGGACAAATAAATCTCAAAAATAGGCTAAGGGTGAGTTTATCCCCAAACTCAAAACTCTGCCACATCAGCTTTCCACTAACTTTTAAATGTTTTTTTTATTATTCAGATTCATATAAGAGTTTATCCAAATTCACACATTATTCTAAGACTCACTCCAAACTCACTTATCCTCTCAAAAATAGATTTATTTATTTTTTAAAATATCTTTAATTATTTTTTTTAAAAAAAATTATTATAAACATTATTAATATTCATGTCTAATAATTTAATACTCATTTATGATAATTCGGATAAAATTAATTTAAGTTAATATTGTAAAACTTGTTATTGACGAGATAATACACAACGATAATTACTAAATTTATTTTATAATACATAATGATAATTTTATAATACTACGAAATTTTTTATATTGCGATTTTTTTTTAATATAAAACAACAATTGTACTTGTACAACACTTGAAATCAAAAGGCAAGTTAAACTTAATAACATGAAATTTAAAACAACAATAATTAGTCATTAGCACCTCCTCCAAAACGTGACCATATATTCTCTATCCAGTCATGTTGCAATTGATGACATTGAGTTCGATTACGAATTCAAATATGATTTTCGAAGTATTGATCCCGATTTGCATAATAATTTCGAAGAAGACCATGCTGAAGTTTAGGTGCTTCTACTTGATTCACACTGTTATAGAGTATTGGATATCTCTTGGTGGATTCATTTCGTAGTTATCATCTCTTTCATCTTCAATGATCATATTATGCAATATAATGCATGCTTTCATGACATTCCCTACTTCACTTTTTTTCCACAAATGTGCTGGATTACATACAATTGTGAATCTCTTTTGGAGGACTCCAAATGCTCGTTCAATATCCTTTCTCGCGCCTTCTTGAAATTGGGCAAATCGTTTCCTTTTCTCAGAGAGCATGTTAGCTCGAGGAATAGATTTGACAAAAACCGACCACTCAGAGTAGATATCATCTGCTAGATAGTATCCTAAATTGTACAATGTTCCATTTATTGTGTATTGTATGTTAGGGCTTCGGCCTTCAAGAAGCTCATCAAATATTGGAGACTAATCCAGTACGTTAATATTGTTGTTGGAACTTGCAACACCAAAATAGGCATGCCAAATCCATAAATCTTTAGAAGCAACAACTTCTAATATCATGGTAGGGACCCCTTGATCACCTCGAGTGTACTGACCTTGCCATGCCACTGGACATTTCTCCCATTGCCAGCGCATACAATCGATGCTTCTTAACATACCAGGAAATCCGCTAGCCTTGTTAACTTGTAGAAGACGTTGAACGTCATCGGTTGTGGGTTTACGTAAATAGTAGGTGATCACTTCATTTCTCTCACTTTTGCATATAATTTAATAAATTTTATTTAAACATACTACTACTACTACTACTACTACTTTTACAACAACAACAACATGAATTTAAAATACTACTACAACTAGTCTACACTAATACTACTCCTACCTTTATTACAAATTAATTTAAATTAACTACATACCATAAGTATCCTACTACAACCTAATCATCAAAAGTCCATCCTTATTTCTCAGCAAGTACTTGTAATTTATTCTCATGCAACTTTCTTTGTAAAGGACCCATCTTGGTGACGTCGGCACACAAGAGTTGATTTTCAAGTTCTTGCTATTTTAAATCTGCTAACTGGTTAGCTGATTGTGCACGTGTTTCTTCAATACTTCTGCAACCAAAAGGGCTTCACTACTATGATGACTTACAACACTCTTACCTTTTCTTTGGGCAGCTTGCAGCCTTTTTGCAGCTTGTTGACCCATTGGTGTGGCCTCTTAGCTTCATCCTCAATTAGAGCCTCAAAGTCCCCTCCACTTGAGGTGTAGTCCCCCATTTCTGACAACTTGCTCCTCGTAGAAGATTCGCTACCATAACCTTTCTTGCGGGCTTTTACTTCCTAATTCATTTTGAAATTTTGGTGTAATACACACAACACTCCACACACTATCATAATGAAATTTTGAAGCATACAATGTATGGTACAATGCACGTGATTCCGATAGCTTCAATGCTTCATTGTACCCACTTTTATTTTTGTATTTGGCGTAACAACCTGCAAATTTACTGAGGGCACTATTAATTCTCCACCAATTTTGTTTGCAAGAATTTGCCTCCCTCATTACTTGATTTTCTTTTTTATTTTCATTGCAAAAAGCTGCAATCTTCTCCCAATATTGCTCTGATTTTTGTGCTTTGCCATTGACATTATTTTTGGTAGTATTTAACCAAGAAATGGCAAGGAGTGAGTCATCTTCGATCGACCAACTCAACCCTTTTTTTATCCCCTTTTTGGGTTGATTTGCGGCATGTTGGTCTACGAGTGGTAGTCGTAACATCAACATTATCAGATTGAAATGAAATGTCGGATGTTGATTCACCACTAATGGGTGTCATACAAGGTTGTTCAATATTATTTATAGGAGTAGACTGCTAATTTTGAGATTGGAGAAATTAGGTCAAATTTTGCACTTGTGCATTACCCATATGTGAGTTTGATGAATTTTGAGATTGATTTTGTTGAGATGAATTCATAGTGGAATATAATTGAGGATTATTTTGTAATAAAGATAAAAAAGAATTCAAGTCGAAATTTTGATTTGGATCCATGATTTTTTTTTTTGGGAGGAAATTTTTTGTATATATATTTTTGATAGGTTTTTTTTTTTTTTTTTTTTTTTTTTTTTTTTTTTTGGCTAAATATACATATATCATGATATTTATGTATATACACAAATTGATCATGATTTAGCCGTTAATATATCAGTTGGAGCACATTCAAGTAGCCGTTGCAATATATATACAAATAAGCCGTTGTGAAGTTTGGATTGAATTGCATGTTAGGTAAGGTGACAAGAATTGGTTGGCTAATGACAAATGTTACAACAATTTTTATCCCATGCAAAGACCGGAGAAGAGTTTCAATTTTCCAAACTCACTCCAAGACTCACATGAGTCTTTTGTTACATTAACGCTTGAGTTTGGGGTGAGACTCATCTCAAGACCCCCAATAAATTTACCCTAATACACTCAACTCACGGAGATTTGCAAACACTTCAACACCCTCGATACCTTTTTTTTTTTTTTTGGACAAGACCCTCGATACTTCTATATCTCGTGCATACTATATTTTGACACATAAAACTTACCTAACCAAGACACTTAACACGTGGAGATAAGTGCGCGCCATAATCACAGTTCACCTGAGTACATCGTGAACCCGCCCCTAGTGCCCCGCCTCAACTTAGTTGTTACACCAAATGTAGCAAAAGGAGGGAGAGACATCGAACCCTTATAAGATCAAATAATTACTGATTTACTGAGTACATTTGTCGAAAACAAAAGAAAGATGAACGACGTATCTGGAAAATTACAAATTCTGGGTTTGTTCAGGATTTTATTACTAAATAAATAAATACTCTTACAACATAAATAACTCTTCCTCACTCCCAAATTAATCACAAATTCAAGCTCCAAAACCCTAATTTCAATGGACGAAGACAGCATTTTGGAGAGAGAAAGGTACCAAATTGAGCAAATTCGAGAGCTCGATGATGAAGAATTGCAGATTGAAGAAGTCGAAGGTTTACCCGAGGACTCCGATGATGATCATGCTATGTAATTTTTGATTTTCTATTTGTAATTTTTTTCACTGTTACTCAATTTGATTTCTTTATTTGTTTTCTTTTGATGTTTAAATTGATGTTTTGCCCTTGATTTTGATCATTTCACCTTTGTTTAATTGCTGGTTTTTGTCGCTTTTAGGGTTTATGTATGGTTTTTGTGCTAAATTAATTTGGTTGTCGAATGTCGGGAAAATTAGCTAAAATTATAGGGATTCATTAATGCTGGTTAGCTGAATAATCGACATTTCAATATCATAGGACATGACAGTGCTGAACAGGATATGTTCGGAGAGTTATTGGTGCAACCTGTTTGAGTAATAATGTTAAAACTCTTAAAGATTAAAGAAAGTAGTTACTACTTACTAGTTAGTATGTAACTTAAGGAGAATGAAATTGGGTTTTTAGTTTTCAATGATTGTGTGGACATGGAACTGATGAATGATGTATAATGATATATTGTGTTGAGTTGTATCGTGAAACTTGCCTAAAATATTCAAGTTAAGAGAAGATATGTTATAAAGGAGTAGTGAATTAAATAAGCTAGAGAAGTAGAGAGTGAGGAGGAGCTTATTAGGGAGTGGGTCAAACTTAAGAGTAAACTCATGAAATTGGTGAAAAAAAGAAAACGGTTAAGTATGAGAGAAGATATTCTTTAGTGGGATGAGGATGTGACATTGTTTATAAGTTCCTCTTTAAGATAGTTTATGGTAGAAAGCTGTGAAATGATATCAAATTTGTAAGTGAGGATGATAAGGTCGCTAAAGATGATCAGGTTTTTTCTGATGTGATCCCCACTTTCAATAAGACCTTTTCTTATAGGGGATGTGAGATTCTCTTATTTTTAAAGGTTTGGATTGACACCCTATCTTTGAAATACAATTGAATGAAGATGATCAGGAATTCAGGATTGGATTTGGAAAACATTGAGGTTAAGAAGGTGGTGTTTTCTTTGGTAGCCACTAGCTATGAAATGTTTGGTGACATTACAAATTATCTTCTTTTATTGTTTTCCTGGAATATATGTGAAATAGGTGGTTATTACGATTAAAAATGCATTTCAGAACCCATTTTCCTAAGGTAGGTCACTCTTGAGGTAAAGGTGACAGTCCATTTAATCTCATTGCTGCACTATTAGGAAAATTCCCCCTCAATACTATTCCTTTGTAGTGAAGCACTATTCTCCCAATTTTTTAGTGGTGTGGAGGATGCTAAGGGATGAGGTAGAATAGTACCCATTTTATTTTAGATCTCAATAAAGTCTAAGCTACTAAATTGGAAACATTTAAACAAGATTTCGAAGACGTTGGGGATTAAGCTCATGCTGTGTCTCACCAGCTTGTTGTTTCTCTATTATTGCTGTGGGAAACCTAGAAGTAGTTTGCTATGAGAGGGTGATCCTCTCTGTTTTATTGTTTTACCTTGGTTATGGTTTGCTTGATACAATCATCTCCATTGTGGAGGAGCGTTGTAGCATCGTGGTAATAGAATACTCGTGGTTATTCATTTAGACAAGTTCTTACTTCGTAGTCAACTGTCATGAACAAATAATTAATATCCTTGAGCTTGTTTATGATCTATGATCTGTTAAACCTAATGGTCTACGCCCAAGATAATGATCACGCTATGTAATGGAGCCTATGCTGTAAAATGGCAGGTCACATATAAGGATAGGGGCTAGGATCATTGCTTGGTTTGAGAAAACCAAAGTGACTGATGCTGAAAGGTTAATGTCAAAGCATAAGCGTTAGCAAGCAATCCAAGCATAGCTGCATCTCAGCAAAACTGGATCATAGTTGAAGAAATAAGATTGTTTCCTGCATCCTCGCTTGTTTTGTTCCATACTCTCTTGAGTAAGTAAACTACCTTTAGGTCTAGTAAATAGAGGCACCAGTCGTCTTGAACCACCCATGAGATAGGCCTGCCTGTGCCTTAAAGAGATAAAGAAAGATATGTTTCTAATTTATTAGGAAAGTGATAGCTCTCTTGCCAATGAAGAATTCCTTGGAGTTGGAGTCTCCGGTGTCTCTCGAGTGTTGAGATTTTTTACTCGACTAGTAGGGAAGGGAAAGGATGAGGCAAGTTACCGCACCTTTAAATTTTCCCCATAATCAACTTAGAATCCTTATGCTTTCAATAGTGTTTTAACCTATCTAATATACCTTATAAAGATCCAGATTCCAGACTAGATAATCAGCTAGCCTAGTATCAAGAAAAAAGAGTTTAGCATTTTGTAGGTCAACGTTCACACTTTCATATTCAGTAGTTGCCCTTACCTATTTGGTTTCTGATTTTGCATCTTCTTATTATGTATTAGGGAACCCATTAGGTGCAAATATGTTTTTGAAGATGCTCAAAATTTGATGTTTAAAAAGTGAAAACACCATTACTCACTGCCATCACTAGTGGGTGGGAGTATAGGTGGACCTAATGAAAGGTTTTGGTGACACGCTCTCACCATTTTTAATAATTTGTTACATATAAGACAGAAATAGAAGATAAAATGAGGCATTCATTAAATTGGGAATTAGTTTGTGCCCCACCAATTTAATGATCCTAGATCCGCTTCATGTGAGTTAATCCAATATTTGGGCCATTTGCTACCTTCTATGCTTTAAAAATCCAACTCAAGTCATGGGTTTATTTGACTTGCGAGCTGGCCTTAAGTGACTCCAATTGATTCTGGCCTAAATCAATTCCCAAATTTCTGTGAGAGGCACCCTAATTAAGCATTTTCTCCAGATCTTTGGTTTAAGTGGCAAAAACCTAGATCTTTCAACTTAAAGAGAAATATGCTAAATTTAGAACCTTATATTTGCTCCTTTGGTTGGTTGGGATTTGCAAAATGAGTGGAGTGCTTTTTTGTTGTCAAATTTGGAGAGTTACACCTTCGGCCACCTTTTCTTTAATGCTGCAGTTTTGATGTGGCTTGATGGTTGTTTATGCAGTCTTTCAGAAGGCCCTGTTCTTCCTTATATTGTTCCCTTCCTTCTCTTTCTTTTCCCTTGGGGCAGATGTGGTGTGCTGGCCTTGCTGCGTGAGAAGGAGTTGAAGAATTATCAATCGGTTGCACTTACAAAGAGTGATAGTTGGTATCTATTTCTGGTTTGATGCAATTTATTTTCCCATCTTGTATGCAGACTGAAATCTTCATTCTTCTACTCCTGAGTTTGCATGAAAATAATCATACTTGCATATTCAAATCTTTTATTATCTGGCCTTGTATGTGTGTGTTGGTAAGCTGGCCTTGCTGTGTGAGAGGGAGTGAAGAATTATCAATGGAATATATCTATCAAATTTGTGCTGTTGATGGCTGAAAGTCAGAAATGATGACTATCATAGTCCATCCAGAATGAAAAATTAGAAAATGGATTCAATATGTTTTGTACTTGCGTAGCATATAAAGTATGACTTCTTTTATTTATAATTTTAAGCCTCTGACTTCTTGTTTTGAATGTTCTTTCTCTTACTCTAGTGTTTATGCTCATGGCAGGCTGGGTGAATTTACATTTGACACCTGTCTGGCGTCATTGCATACCTATTTGGGCGGTAGGCATAAGTAACATTTACACTCTTATGTAAGTTCTTGTTTATGTAAAATAAATTTCCCTGATTGAGCGTATTGTTGCAGAGGTGGAAGACACTCATCACAGGACAGCTTTTGTTGATACTGGCGCCATTTTGACTCTCCCTCTTTTTTATCTTGAAGGTTTTTGTATCAATTATTCTTTAATTATGTGCCAATATATCCCAGTTGAACACATTTGTCTTGCTTTATCTTTTTAAATCTTTTTATTTTTTATATATTTAATTTTTGATACAAGGTGAATTGATTTTTTCCCCCCCTCTTAAACATATGTTGTCCAGGTGTAGTACTGTTCCCAGAGGCAACTCTTCCTTTAAGAATCATACAGCCGAATTTTATAGTAGCTGTAGAAAGAGCAATGGGTCAGATTGACTCCCCTTATACCATAGGTGTGGTACGTAAACAACTTGCCATCTTTGTCAGGAATTTCATCCTTAACTTAAGATTTTTTGAGCAATTTATGTATATTGCTCAGGTTCGTGTTTATAGAGACCTTGATTTTGGAAGGTTAAGGTTTTCAGCTGTTGGGACTACTGCAGAGGTATTATTTCTAATTTCACTGATTTCTTAATGAATGTACAGATTTACGCTTTTAGCACCTCATTTATTTGTTTTAAGCTTCTTCATTGCAAAATAGATGTGTTACTACTTATTCGGAGGTTTCAAAACTAGTGTCCCCCTTCCTATATTCTCAGCTTTACCGTCCCATGTGTTTTCACATAACAAACTTTGTGAAAATACTTCTTCTTCTGCTCCTAAATAATGGGACACTTTTGATTTCGTATCATTTTAAAGATATATACTTAAGAAGTTAAGATACTATCTTTCACCATTTAAATTTTTTGCATCTTCACCATTTCATGCTGGTCTTTTTTTATTTTTTATTTTTTTTAAGTTTCTTAAACAAGTATAAATGTAATATTAAGAGTAATATGGGAATCTGGGATTGTTCAAAATTTAATTCACACAATATTGAAAGTGGCCTTTAATATTGAAATGAACTAAATTGGAATTGTGGCCTTTTATTATTCCTTGTTTTATAAATGATTTTTCCCCTTCTACCTTCTTTTACCCCCACTTGTTGGACTCATTAAATCCATAGTTTCTCGCAATCACATATTCTCCTTGTTTCCTTGGCAAGCTTTGCTAACTAAGATTGTGCGCTTGTGTCTGATCAGTGATGAGAGAACTTATAATAATATGGATGTGGCTTGTTTCATATTTAGTTTGGAAAATTTCATATTGAAGCATTTTAGTGTTACATGAGATAACTAAAGGTTGTGTTGGAATGAAACACTTTTTCTGTTTCTGTGATGATGTGAAATTTAGTATGTTATGTTTTGACATTCACTTCTTCAAGTTAGCCAAGGAGAAAGTTGTCATATGGTTCATAATATTTCAAAATTAGAACAGAAAGTTAGTGAGCCTGAAGGCATTTGCTGTTAAACTTTTCCCAAATCGTGATAAACTTGAGCTGATCTGTATGTGAGTAATAGTTTCTTTATCTATTTATCTCAAGTTCTTACAACTAGTATCTATTTTTTGTTTTATTTTGTCAAAAGATTATATTAGTGAGTAGGTGCATTTTAGTTCTGTTGTTTTTTGAGTTTATTCTCACTTGCAAAATATACCTACATGCTATAACCCTTGTTGCTCCATTCCATTCCTATGAGAGATCTTGGCCAGATATGTGATATAGCTAGATACGTGACAATGGTCATTAGTCGGAAAGGCCATGCTCAGTATCAGAAAAAAACTAAAAATAAAAAATAATAATAATAAAAAAAATATAGGGTACATCTAGTAGCCTATGTGTAGACTACATTGATCATGAATTACTTAATTCAAAATTTTGTTACCACTGATTCAGATTCGACAATATCGTCGTTTGGAGGATGGATCTGTCAATGTAGTTACTCATGGAAAGCAGCGATTCCATGTTAGACGCCATTGGATCGATACCGATGGAGCTGTAAGAACAAACCCAATGTTGTATTACCATAATGCTACTACTGTCATGCTATTTATCCCGCTTTGAGGAGTTAATTTGACAAATAAATTTGTGTCTTTAGCCTTGTGGAGAGATTGAGGTCATTGAAGAAGACTTGCCTTTGAGGACCCCACGTGACGCAATTGGAACCTTACCGCCATTAAGTAACCTTAGTAGCCGGAGCTTTTCTGATGCTACAAAATCTCATCATCAGGCTAAGAGACATAGAGATGCAGTTGAAAGCAATTGTTCTGATGCAGAGTCGGAGGAAAGTTTTCTGAATGAGCTTTCAATTTCAGAGATGAGATTGCATCAAAGTGCTGTTGAGTCCTGTTGCGCATATGATACGATTGATGAGTCAACAAGCAGTGATGATGAGAAATATGTTTGTGAATCAGAGCTTCGCTCTGGACAATCTAAATCAAGTGATGGTTCATCACAATCAAAGTGTCGAAGGAGAATAGATGCTGCCTCAGGAGTTGCAAACAAAGATAAAATTAACCAATCGCCTCAGAAAGGAGATGCATGGGGGAAGAGAGGTATGTCTGCCAATTTGAATCAGTTCCGTGCAGTTCCCAGAGCATTCCTGCCATACTGGGTATACCAGATGTATGACTCTTTCACTCTTGCTCAAAAGGCAGCAGGTACTCTCTCTCTCTCTCTTTCTCTCTCCTTTAGTCAAAAACCTGATGCCTGTAATCTGCAAAATGTTACTGTACATTACGTTCTATGTCTATATTTGGTGGCACTCCCTCTCCTTCAGTTAAAAATCTCAAAATCCTGATGTCTGTAATCTGCATAAAGTTCCTGCACATTTCTGTCCTAGATCAGGTATTTGGTGAATGAATAGCCTTGGCTGTGCGTTGATATAGATCAGGTATTTGTGTGGTTAAAGTGATTGAGCTTCAATTTCTATAAGGTGGAATTGCAATAAGTGGAAATTAGGGAGAACTAGTACCCAATATAAATAAAGCTTTAAAAAAAGGAGCAAGGGAATGGATTTCGGTTCCCAATTTTATTTTCTTGAAGGTCTGATCTTTTTGCTGTCTTTCTCATTACCCAATGTCAAATGGTTCCTCATTCCTGTGAAATATTTTCTGACACTGCAGCAGCTATACTATATATTCTTTTAGTGATGTAGCCAGAGCATAAAATAAATATGTTGATAATTTTGCTCATAGAAGATATAACACTGGCAGACTTTTAGGTTGAGTCAACGACCAGTTTCCAACTAAAATAAAAGGTTCATAAATGCATCCTTGTGTAATAGTGCTAGCTTCTGTGACCTAAACACTGTTCTTATGGAAGTATAATGAGGACCATTCGTTCTGAGCTTTAGTTTTGATTGGACTTTTGAGGCTTTGCGTTCTGATGTGAAAGTGAGGAAATCTAAGTAGGCTATGTTGAAGGTGCATTGCAATTTCTTACAAGGGTGCTTCCGCTTGTTTTGCAGATATGTGGAAGCAGGTTGTTGGAGCGCCGAGTATGGATGGGTTTGTTAGAAAGCCTGATATCTTGTCATTTTATATTGCCAGTAAAATTCCTATATCCGAGTCTACAAGACAGGAGCTCCTAGAAATTAATGGAGTCTCCTATAGGTTACGTCGAGAAATCGAACTACTTGAAGGTTTTGATCGTGTGAGGTGTAAAAACTGTCAGGTATTACCGAATTACTTAAATTTCCAGCCTTTTTATTTTTCCTGTCAACCTTTTTCGTCTTTTAGTTGGATGAAAAAGGAAGGACTGAGGGTCGGGAGCTGTATCCTTAGGCCTTGGGCTTATAGTTTGTAATGAGACTGGCACTGGGTACCTAAGGTTCTTGATTCAGATAATAAGAACCTCCACCATCATTATTGTTTTTTACCCATTACTACAGCAACTAAAATGGATGCACTTTGCTTTTGATGTTTCTTACCTATTGTGCTAAAAGATGTATTTGTCAAAATGAGTTTAAATTGTGTAATACCTTGACTAATATGATTCTGCCTCTTCTTGCCTTGTTACAGACTGTAATTGCCAGGCGAAGTGATATGCTGGTGATGTCTAACGAAGGCCCTCTTGGTGCATATGTTAATCCAAATGGCTTTGTGCATGAGATAATGACTCTTTACAAAGCCAATGGTTTGGCACTGATTGGCCGACCAAGAGAAGAATACAGCTGGTTTCCAGGGTATGCTATTCAAGTTAATACCTGTCAGATCATTATTACCGCCAAATTATATGTTTCGGTTTGTATGCTATTATGCTTGAGTTGTACCATAGGAGTGAAGTGGAAGTAATTTCCTTTAGCAACAATTAATATATAAGCTCTTTGTTTATGTATGTTTTGTAGATATAAATGGACCATTGCCAACTGTGCTACCTGTGAGAGTCACATGGGTTGGCTCTTTACTGCCGCAAACAAGAAGTTGAAGCCAAAAACTTTCTGGGGAGTTCGGAGTTCTCAGGTTGCAGATGACATGCGATAAGAGTGTAATTGCTTCTTGAATATGTTATATGTACTTGCATTTGTATTTGCTCCCATGTCATAGTCTTCTTTGGGAGATTAGGTGTCTATTCGGAACAAGTGAGACTAAGCTATTGATAGATTTTCCTGTGAAGGACAGCCATCTAGAAGTACATATGAGATTGTATAGACTATAGTCTATTAGTCTATAGAGTAGTTCTTTCATGTAGCTTTGTTTTCTGTGTATGTTGCTAGTAAGAACTCAAACGTTGTATCATGAGTGCAAGTTGGTTCTATATATGTTGAATGAACTACAGCGAAGAAACCTTGAAGAAGGGTGTGATGACTTTTGAAGAAGCTGTTTTTTTTTTTTTTTTTTTTTTTTTTTTTTTTTTTTTTTTGGCCTGTATGGATGGTCATAAAGATGAGTAATCCCAGGTCATTATATAGCTTTCGTATAACCAGAAATATTTTACTGGGGAATCGAATAAAATTCAATACAATGATTCTTTTTGCAGATTAAGCGTACCTTTTTTTTTTTTTTTTGGAAAGAAAGTTTAAGTGTATCCTCTATTTTATAGCTGCAGTCTTTCTATAAGTTTGTCATCACTTTATTTCAATCATTTGTAGCTTTAAATATTTATAATTAAGACTTTTTTTTTGTGTGTGAATAATAGGATGTGACTATTTAAGTAATTGGCAATGCTTCCTCAACAAAAAAACATAAAATTAATTGGCAATGTGGCAACTCAAGTACTCAACTTCGATCATACTACCACAGTACAATTGTTTAACATGTTGCTGCAACGTGCTAGACAAATCAAGGGCAGCAATAGGCCTAACAGCGGCAAACAGGCTTCGTTGCTGGTAGCATGGTGCGACCCACGGGCGGCTTGAGGGATTTGAGTTCCTCGTTCCTTTTGTATTCATATCATTACATGTCCTTGTTTTCCTGTACAAGATTAGTTTATTTGGTCTACATGTTTTTTTTTTTTTGGTGTGATATTAATGTAGATTGTAATACAATACTCCATCATTCAAATTCTTATTTTCATTTTACTTTTCGGAACTTTGCTCCAAAAATACCCTTAGTTATGATGCCTAAATTTATAGACTCATAAAGTCACAGTTGGTGCTATTTAATAATTATCTAAAAGATACATGTTAACAATATTTGTCAACGAAACTTTTTAGAACGTAGATAAACATCTATTCAATAAATTTAATGTTGATCAATACTCTCGTATTTAATAAACTCTATTATTAATATAAGGAATTAATGCGCCATTCTTTTCATCAAACCAAAAAAAAAAAAAAAAAAAAAACACTCTATTAATTGTCTAAAATGGATATCAACATCTGAGGTTACCCTAACCTCACCCCCTAACAATTCCTTCAAACATAGATTATAGGTTTATATGTATTTTCTAACACCATCTAGCATTAATTTGACACTAATCAATTTTTTAGGGAGTTTTGTTACGGAAATCGTTAATTAGGAAGTACTTGCAAGAAAATGGAATGGCAATATTTCAATATCTTTTAAAATTATTGACATATCTTTTATGACATTTAAATTGGCTATAAAAGTATAGTCACAAACATTTTTTTTTTTTGGTGCAATAGTCACAAACATATTTTCGAAACTAAGATAAACTCATTTCTTAAAAATTATACAATATCAATCTAACAAATGCACACATATCAAAGTGGATCAAATGAAGGTGGTAAAATAAGTTTTAATGAATTATCGTAGCATAGTGTAATTCAACATCCAAAATTGAGTAATGTTAATATTATGATTCTAAATTTTAAATTGTAATTTGATTCTTTTCTCATTTGAGTAATATTTGTACAATTATAGCATCTAAATTTAGACATAATGTATGAACACATTTGAATTCCATAATTTCTACATTTCTAGACTGCTAGTATGAGCACACCATTTTATAATTAAAAGTGCAGTCTAGTCATGGTTCACCAACAACATACGCGTATTTCTCACAAAAACTTTTCTCTCTCCTTTGACTTTCAATAAAAGAAAGTTGACTTTTCTCAGTAAACACCTTCCTCTTGCATCACCCAAATCAAATTCTTATACTAATTACCCAAAAATACTGTAATAATGATGTCACTCAATAGAAACAGACCACATTTTTTGGTAATTCACATTTACTTTTACAATTCTTTAATCAAATTTATTAAGCCACGTTTTAGCTTTATCTTGATTCCAAATCTTAGTCCTAAGACAAATCAAACTTTTATTTTTTTTTATTTTTGTAAAATAAAAAAAATTCTAATTCTACCCTTTTTCACATATCTAAATTTGCTTATAAAAATAACCCACGTATTCTGCAACAAAAGGAACAATTTGTATCTTTCTGGGTTTCATTGATTTTCTGGGTTTGTCAGTTTTTGTGCCATTTTTTTTTTTGTTGTTGCAGAGATTATTGGTCAATTTGAAGGTCAAAGGAGAGAGAGAAAAAAGGGTGATTAGAGGAATTATGAGTACTGGTAATGCACTGGATGAGATGACTCAAGGATCCAACGGTGTTGGTGGGGGTGTTAAGGACGTGTACGGTGAGGATTCTGCCACCGAGGCTCAACATATCACTCCTTGGACAGTATCTGTTGCCAGGTGATTGTTACATTTATTTTATGTTCCGTAGACGGGTTTGATCTCGGGTCTTGAGTATTGTCGTTTTTGTTGCTTCTAGTAATTTTTTCATGGTAGAATTTTGATCTTTTACGTGTTGGTGCATCATAATATATTGATATGGGTTTCTTTCTTGTACAATGGTTAAATTATTCTAAGTAACTACTGTAAAAAAAAATATGAATATATGAAATGGGTTTTTTTGCTTTGTTGTGTTCATGTAATGTCTGATTGTGAGATCAAAAAAGGAAATTATGGCTTAATCATAATATATGAATAATTTTCGTGATTATACAGAAATGGAGGTTGAGAAATTATTTCCTGGATTTAAAGATTTATGGATTAACTAGTTCTTGGAGGTTCTTTTAGTCAAGACAAGACTTCTGCATTACTGCATTTTACCTGTATTAGATCGAAATTTGTAAACAGAAATTTTCTGAAGGCATGTGTTGAACTCTTTGGATGTTTTTGATTGCGAAAAAGCCGAAAAGATTTCTCGTGATCATATATTAATCAAGTACTGTTATTGCAGTGGGTATACATTGCTGAGGGATCCCCATCACAACAAAGGGCTTGCTTTTACAGAGAAAGAAAGAGATGCTCATTACTTGCGTGGTTTATTACCACCTGCATGTCTGTCACAGGAGCTTCAGGTTAAATCACTAAACCTTGTTTGTTTGTCAAATTTGTTTAAAAGCTATTTTTGCTTTAGAGTAGTAGTTCTTAATCGCGATATTTTGATCTTCAGGCGAAGAAGTTTTTGGCGACTCTCAGACAATATGAAACTCCCTTGCAGAAATACATTGCTATGATGGATCTTCAGGTATATCTGTGTGTTTGACATTTACAAAAGTTGTTACTGTATGGCGCTATTTTGTCAGTTCGATTTTTTTTACATGTACTACTAATAATTAAGTAGTGTAAGCCAATAATCTGATGTTAATTTGAGAATTTTATTTGTAATTTCTGGAGCTGGAGAGCTACAATTGTAATGATCATGGCTTACAGGACAGTACATGTTGTACAATTTGGAGTGTTGAATTAAAGACAGACCTCGCAGCCACTAATTTCATAAATGATATACTTTGATGGAAATCATATAATACATGATAATCTCAAAAGTAATTCTGAACAGGCATCAGTTTGCAAAATGCTACTTAAATGTATGTTGTGACTCATAGTAAGATGTAAGTGTTGCATGATTGATCTGCTGATGCTGTAATTTTTACAGGAGAGGAATGAGAAACTGTTTTATAAGCTTCTTATTGACCATGTTGAAGAATTGCTACCACTTGTGTACACTCCAACTGTTGGTGAGGCTTGCCAAAAGTATGGAAGTATCTTTAGACGCCCCCAAGGTCTTTTCATCAGTTTGAAGGATAAGTATGTTTTCTGGAGCATTCTCATTATTTTCCTTGTAGGATAAAAATAGTTTGTTCGACTTGCATTATGTTTTAGGAAGTAAGAATTTGATGTCTTTTGGTGTTTCAGGGGAAAAATTCTTGAGATTTTGAAGAACTGGCCTGAAAAGAATATTCAAGTTATCGTGGTTACTGATGGTGAGCGTATCCTTGGACTAGGAGACCTTGGTTGCCAGGTATTGAGCATGTATAATCTGCTTCCTTTTTAAGTCTCTGGCACTCCTTTTTAACTTCCCTCCACTCTACCTTGATTTCTCTGTTAGACTCATGTAGTCATGATTGATAAGACAAACTTACTTTGTTTAGGGAATGGGCATACCTGTTGGAAAACTTTCCTTGTACACAGCACTTGGTGGAGTTCGCCCTTCAGCAGTAAGCAATTGATTTTGATTAAGCTCTTATATTGTAATCATTTTTATGGTTTCTGAATGTGAAGCATGTAATCTGTACTGACGATTTGTTCATCTGGATGCATAAAGGCATGCTATTAAGTCCCTACTCCCAGATCTAACTGTATGTTTTTCTTATCTTCTTCCTTTGCAGTGCTTGCCTATAACCCTTGATGTTGGCACAAATAATGAGAAGCTATTGAATGACGAATTTTACATTGGTCTGAAGCAAAATAGGGCTACAGGGAAGGAATACGCTGAGTTTGCTCAGGAATTTATGTCTGCAGTCAAGCAGAACTATGGCGAGAAAATCCTAGTACAGGTCAGTCACAAATTCTGAGCCTCTAATTACAATAAACATGTTTTCCCAATAAACTAACTCTGTTGTTATTATGACATTCATACAGTTCGAAGATTTTGCCAACCATAATGCATTTGAATTGCTGGAGAAATACCGCAAAACTCACCTTGTCTTCAATGACGACATACAGGTGGTGAAAGTTCTCGTGCCTTAAGATCGTGTGATTTCTTTTAGAAGTTTCAAGTAATGTAAAACCCCTTGTTTTGAGTGCAGGGTACTGCCTCTGTGGTTCTCGCTGGGCTCATTGCCTCTTTGAAACCACTGGGAGGAAACTTGGCTGACCATACATTCTTATTTTTGGGCGCTGGAGAAGTGAGCAATTTAACAAGCTTATTTTGAGAAACACTATATATATGCAGTATTATTTGTATTCGTATGTTGCCCAAACTGCTAAAAGTTGCTTCCTGGATAAAGAAATATTGAAATAATATCAACATATCATCTTGTATTCTGTCACTTCTTCAAATAACTTCAGATGATGCTGGTTGTGCTACTGCAGCTCTCTTGCATTTTGCACCCTCCCCCCACCCCTTGGTTCAACTGGATACATGTTCAGTCCTTTCTAATTTTAGATAGTTCCTTCTGTTATCTGACACTTGAAACTTTTGTTATCTGAAGGCTGGAACAGGTATCGCTGAGCTTATAGCTCGTGAGATGTCAAACAAGGTATCAAACTGGTCCTAATTTATTCATTTTTTTTGTTTCTGGAAATTCATTACAACCATGCTCTCATCTTTACTCCCCCTTTTTTATCCCACCTTACTATTTTTCTCTGCTGTTTTTGCACAGACAAATGCTCCTGTTGAAGAAATGAGAAAGAAGATATGGCTTGTAGACTCCAAGGTATTATCCACTCATCCTGATGCTTATTAAAATTTCATATAAAGGCCATTACTTTATCATTCTTGACTCTTATTATCTTTTACTTACAATATTTATTTACTATTTTGATGGCAGGGACTTGTTGTTAGCTCTAGGAAGGAGTCGCTTCAGTCTTTCAAACTGCCTTGGGCACATGAGGCTAAACCTGTTACAACTCTTTTAGAAGCAGTACAGGTGAACGAGAATTGGCTACTAAAAAGGCATTTCATCAATAAGAGATTTTCTTGTGACTAAAGTTTTATACTTACTTCTGTGTCCTTTATTTCTCAGGTAATCAAACCCACTGTGTTGATAGGTACTTCTGGAAAGGGAAAGACATTCACTAAGGAGGTGGTTGAAGCCATGTCATCTATCAATTCGGTACCATTCTACTTTCATTTATGTTTCTGCTTCTTGTTTTGTATTTAAACGATCTAGGTTTGGAGCCATATTTGTGCGATGATTCACTTAGTTTGGCTTCGGGTTAGATCATTTTTGGGTTTATTGTGACATTAATTTTGAGTCAGGTCAGGTTGAGACGTTGGGTAAATAGTTGGATCAATTTTGGGTCATGTATTTTCAAGTAACCTGGGACGGCGTGGTTTTGCTAGGTCTAGTTGTAAGCTTAACATGGTGTGTTCATGTGGTTATCTGTGCAGAAACCTCTCATCCTTGCTCTATCAAATCCTACATCACAGTCAGAATGTACTGCTGAGGAGGCCTACACATGGAGCAAGGTAAATTACCGTTTTTGTTTGCCTTTTCAATTTTCAATTCTCACCTTTATTTCTTTCTTTTCTACAAGATGAAACTGACATGAATATGGCTTTATTCTTTGAAATGATTTAGGGCCAAGCAATATTTGCCAGTGGAAGCCCATTTGATCCCGTCGAATATGAAGGACATACTTTTGTTCCTGGCCAGGTCTAACCTGCATCCACTGCCTTTTTTTTAGGGACCCTCTTTATCTAGATTGAAAGTTAACCTTTAATTGTCATGTTGCAGGCAAATAATGCTTACATATTCCCTGGTTTTGGTTTGGGTCTGATAATGTGTGGTGCTATTCGTGTTCATGATGACATGCTTTTGGCTGCCTGTAAGTGCCCCACTGAAACTGTAAAAGTTTAAACTACAAATTTTGATTTCTTGTTTTGTGATTGTGCAAAGACATATAGCCTCTACAATTCTTCTTACAACTCTTCTTCTAGAGCTTATCATGGACTGTTCCATTGTCCAAAAAATCAGGCCAGGCTGCATTTTGGCCTGGAAAGTACTGCAGAAAATTGATAAGATCAGGTATAGATTGAGCTGGAGTCGGTAACATACTCCCCATAAAAGTCCGATCAATTGGGCTGGCATTCTGTAAACACGGCCTGAGTTGGATGAGGCCAGTTTTGACCAGCTCTATCTTCTTCCTACTTTTGAAGCTAATCTCTCTGGGTCTTTCAGAAATTTTTTAAATAGCACAATAAAATCATTTTTTTTTCCTACCCTATGATCTTTGTTATCTTCCTTGATGGAGAAAAAGTAAAAGTAACTCTTTATCAATCTGTAAACAGCTGAGGCATTGGCTGCACAAGTTACAGAAAAGCACTTAGCGAAGGGACTTATCTATCCACCATACAAAGACATTAGAAATATATCTGCTAATATTGCTGCCAAAGTTGCAGAGAAGGCTTATGAACTCGGTGAGCAATTACTTTAACTGTCTGATATATGAAGAAATACTTGGATCTTCTTGTAGTCCGCTGATTATCCATCTGTTATTTTGTGTAGGTTTGGCTAGTCGGCTTCCACAGCCAGAGAATCTGGTAAAATATGCTGAGAGCTGCATGTACAGCCCTAATTACAGAAATTACCGTTGAAGAATGTGGTTATGAAATTCCCTGCAGTTTTGGATCTTCCTTTACTTGGGCTTCTTAGTCTAGTTATCCTTTTGTAATCTTTACATTCTACTCCGGCTAATTTTCTGCATACATTCCTTTCTTGAATGTCTGCAGATCAATATATAGTGCTATGCATTGTTATACGATTATTGTATCTACCGGATCTGCTATTAGCTTCTATAAAATCCAGCCAGTATATTGAACTAATAATTTTGCTCAAAGCTGTTTCCTTCAGCTGAATTTTTGCTTTTATGAATTAAGACTTCAATTTTTATCAAACTTATTCGAATGCAAATCTTGAGAATCTGTCGGGTGTAAAAAGAATAAGCTGGGGCAAGGGTGTATAAACATGCTTGAAAATTATACATAGAGGGAATTAAATCTTGTTGTATAAGGTGTATATCAGCCACATAAAGCACACATAACAGCTAATATCCGTATGTTTATTACTCATTATTTATGAGAAGAACTTTGTAATTTTTACAATTATGAGCATCCGGTGAGTTCAGACCCTGGGTCAGTTTGCTGCATCAATGCAACAACTGAAACAGAGCTTGTAGCTCCCTTGTTATAGACCGTGGAGGCAAGTGGGATAATGTGGGGCACGACTCGATCAATCAGGTTGGATGGATACAGTTGAGAAGCCAAGGAATGCCTGGCATTTTGTCTCTCTCTATAGCCAGCCTAACAGCCTTGATGTCCAAATCATTTGAGGGCAATGCATATGCATTATGGAATACTTGCTTAGCCCATCATCATATCTTAATCAATTAAGCTCATTCATTCCAGACTCTAAATCTGCATAACATGCAGTGTAGTTTTATCCCTTAAAATTTTTCTGATTCCTCTAAAAGATCAATCGCGTCCAAAATACCTGAAAATCACGACGAATCAAATGTCATGCTTGAAAAATCCCCTTCAACTTTGGTAGGATGTATATAAGGGATGGGGTATCACAAATCATTCGCTATCCTCCCGTATCATTTAATTAGTAGTGTCGCTTGTGTTTTGGACTTGTACACAAGTCTAGAACTATGGATGGGCAGGGCGGTACATGAGCAGACACCCCCCTCCCCCCATATCTAAACCCACTACCTATTACCTAATACCTATAGTGGATATGTACAGGGTGTGAGCCCTAGGCGGTCACACTCGAGGCTAGTTATGTTACAACTCTTATGCTTGTTAATTGTGAGCAAATTAAAGCTATCCCAAAAACCTTAATTTTGTCTCTAACGATGACTAGAGCTTTTTTTTCTTTTTTTTCTTTTTTTTTTTTTTGCCAAATTATGTTGATTAACCTTGTTAACTTTTTTATTTACAATTGTTGAACATAACTTAATTATTTTTACTATACATAGAGCTATTAATATAATGTCAACTAAGTAATGTTTTGGGGTGGCAAATCGACCTCATAACTAAAGATAACTCTTTATTACAGCTAAATTAAAGTATAGAATCTACAAGACACAACAAGGAAACAAAGTTGCATATAATTACAAGGAATAAAATACGAATCATAGTTCTCTATGTTTCCTAATAATAATGATTAGAGGAAATGGGTTGAACATGCAAGTCCAAAAACTTCCCACGAAAGACGTTTCCTAATTGAATAGCTTTAGTACAAATTGCTTAAAATAACATCACAAACACCAAATTATCTATAATTTAATTCCTAAATTAAACTAACCAATCAAGTGATAACATATACTGTATTAATTTCTTTGGTAATTTAATCTCTTTGATTAAGATGCTTGGACGTTTAGTCATGGGTGATGGAACAAACAATCTTAGGTGTCCAAAGATAAGTTTGTTTTTAATTATATAAATAAAAACCGATTTGATGTATGTATAATAACATTCTAAAATGATAAATTCTTTATAAAACAAATTTTCTAAATGTATTAGCCTTATTTCATTTTATTATCTTCAACTTATATCAAAAGTACATAAACTTATTTATGTCAAAATTGGACCAGATTAGACTTGTCAATATACTACGTATTACTGAAAACAAACCATATAATAATTTTAATTCCTGTTTATTTATTACTATATACTTCATATTTTTTATTGCACATTAACGTAAATCTTACAACTTGCATATGTGAAAAATATCCTTTAAACATATATAACATCCCATATTTAACTTTAACATTAATGTAAAAGTACAGCTAAAATTTAATCAAAAAATTATATTCAATCACATATATGAAATAAAATTAAATAAAATAGACCAAAATGACGCCTGATTTTATACGAGTGAGCACATCTGCTTTATTACACAACTCAATGCCTCAAACTATGATTAAAAAAAAAAAGCATTCTTAAATGTAACACAGAAAAAATAGCTAATATAATTGAAAAAAAAAAAGCTATATTCAGTTACATAAAATAAAATTAACGATAATGCTTTATGTAGCCGGCTATAAATAAGCATTACATATCTTTTCTATATGGTATTAATTTAAAAATGTAAGATAAAATAACGCGTAAATCAGTGTAATTGATGATGAAATTCCATTAATACTTTCATTTTTTAGCTTATTATACATACTCCTTAGGGTTATAAATAACATTTTCCTAAAATTAAATAACATTAGACCAAAATACCTTATTTTATACTAACAAGACGTATTTTCTTTATTACAACTCATACTATCATTTTCCGAAAAAAAAAAATAGCATTCCTAAATATAATAAGAAAAATTTAGTCTAGAAGTTGACTTTATTATACGAGTTTATGTTATGAAAGTGCTACACAATGCCAGTTACCCCGCCATTTTCTCTTTCTTGTTGTCCTCCATTATCACCTTCATCAAATTAATCCATAATCAACGGAGATTGATTTCGAATCTCAATTGGTAATAAGAATCTCTCAACCGAATTTTCTTCTTCTTTACTTCCAAATTTATACTCCTACTTTCTTACCATCTTTCTCTTTCTCTTTCTCTTTCTCATTTATTCTTACCAACTCAAAAAAAAAAAACTCTCAGCCAAACACGCCGCAAGATACTGAAATTCTTACACTAACGTTTCTCTTTCTCTCTCTTCTTTAGCTTTGACACTGTTTCTCTCTCCTCAGTTCTACACTTGTCCTGCTGATCTCCAGGTTAGCTTTTCTGGGTTTTGTTTTCTATTTTTGGGTTGTCTGAATTTTGATTTTTCTGGGATTAATTTTGAGTTTTTGAGTTAATTTTATGGTGGGTTGTTTTTTATAGTGTTTTGGTGTATTGGGGTTTGTGGGTTTTTTGTGGGGTTGTGATTTCTGGGTTTAAGATTGGTTTTGGAATTGTTGATTATATAATGATTTTTTTTTTTTAGTTTAAGATGTGTAGTTTAGGGTTTTTGTTTGAATTGGGAATTTCTGAATTAAAATGGAATTGTGATTCTTGTTTATAGATGCATGTTGGATTTAGGTTTCTAGTTGATTTTGTGAAAGCTGAAGATCTTGGAATATAGGGTTGCAATTTCTGAATGAACTGAACTGAAATGAAACCATTAGAACTCAAAAATTGAGATAATTTATATATTGGTTATTCATAGGTTGGTGATGATGATTTTTAAACTGATAATTTATGTAGGTGTGATAATTGTCACGAAGATGTCGATCGAGCATCCGAGGGCTTCAACCCTACGGATGGTTGCTCTGCAGATGACTGTTCTCGTAGTGTCTCTGCTTGTAGTGCCCACTACTCCACAGTCCGCCTCATTGGATTCTGCTGCAATGCAGTCCTTGAAACAGAGCCTAAAGCTCCCTACAAATGTTGATTGGTCTGCTCCAGACTCGTGCAAGTGGCCGGGTGTGGCTTGTGACTCGAGCAATCGGGTCACACGCATACAATTGAGAAGTCTAGGGTTGACTGGCACTTTATCCCCTGCAGTAGGCAACCTCACAAGCCTTGAAGTCCTTGAGCTGATGAACAACAAAGTAACAGGCCCATTACCGAGTTTTAAGGGGCTGAGCTCGCTACAGAGGCTATATCTTCATAACAACAGTTTTAGTTCTATCCCTGATGACTTCTTTGACGGTTTGACTTCACTCCAGGAAGTATATCTGGACAGTAACCCATTTAGTACTTGGTCTATACCTCAGGGGCTCAAGGATGCTTCTTCTTTGAAGAATTTTTCTGCTATGTCAGCCAATGTTGTTGGTAATATACCTGATATTTTCAACCCTGATAATTTCCCAGGTATAATCCATTTGCGCTTGTCCAACAATAATCTGACTGGTGGTTTACCCTCGAGTTTTTCGGGTCTTGGGCTTCAGTCCCTGTGGTTAAATGGGCAATTGGATTCCCATGGTAGTCGAAGTCTTAATGGGACAATTGATGTTTTGCAGAATATGACCCAGTTGGTACAAATATGGTTGAATATGAATGCCCTCACCGGTCCTATTCCAGATTTGTCAAAATTGGCTGGTTTAGAGGATCTGAATTTGAGGGACAATAGCCTCACAGGTCCAGTCCCTGTTTCTTTGACAAGAATGTCATCCCTTAAGGTGGTTAACTTGACAAACAATGCTCTTCAAGGACCAACCCCTAAATTTCCTAATTCAGTAGCTGCAGACATCTTACCCGACAAGAACAGGTTTTGTTTGCCTGATCCTGGTGTGAACTGTGATAGCCGTGTGAATACATTGATATCAGTTATGGAACCATTTGGATACCCTTTTCAAATTGCCCAAGATTGGGGAGGCAATAATCCTTGTAATGGTTGGCGGGGGATAGCTTGCTCTCAAGATAACATTACAACAATAAATTTACCGAGTAGGGGTCTAACTGGAACTCTTTCGCCAAAATTTGCTACTCTTACATCGGTTAAGACATTGATACTTTCACATAATAATATCACGGGTACCATACCTGATGAACTTACAAAAATGCCTAACCTCAGGACACTTGATGTTTCTTTTAATAATCTTTATGGTAATATTCCAGCTTTTGCCCACACTGCTGTTAATGCTCGTGGGAATGCTGATATTGGCAAAGATCATCCTAGCACATCCACTGGAGGTGGCTCTTCTGGTGGACCTGGAGAAACCTCTAGAAAAAGTTCCAAAGTTGGAGTAGTTGTTGGATCAGTTGTTGGTGGTGTAGTCTTTGTTTCTTTTGCTAGTTTAATGCTATTTTGTTTCTTGAGAAGGAAAAAGCTCTATGGGAGGGTACAACAGTCTAATACTGTGGTGATCCATCCAAATCATTCAAGGTCTGATGATGCTGTCAAAATCACAGTCACCGGGTCTGGAGTGAATGGCAAGGCGGTGAGTGAGGACCAAAGTCAGGGGAGCAGTGGCACTAGTGATGTCCATGTCATAGAGACTAATAACATGGTCATTTCTATTCAAGTGTTGAGGAATGTGACCAACAACTTTAGTGATGACAATGTTCTGGGAAGAGGGGGCTTCGGAACAGTCTATAAAGGGGAGCTGCCTGATGGAACCCAGATTGCAGTGAAGAGGATGAATTCTGGAGTTTTAGGAGACAAAGGATTGGCAGAATTTAAGTCTGAGATTGCTGTTCTTACTAAAGTTCGCCATCGACATTTGGTTGCCCTCCTGGGATTCTGTTTGGATGGAAATGAGAAGCTTCTTGTCTATGAGTACTTGCCACAAGGTGATTTGAGTAGATACCTATTTCATTGGAAGGATGAGGAATTGGAACCTCTTAAATGGAATCAAAGGTTAACTATTGCAGTAGATGTGGCCAGAGGCGTTGAGTATTTACACAGTTTAGCACATCAAAGTTTCATTCATAGGGATCTTAAACCTTCTAATATTCTTTTGGGAGATGATATGCGTGCAAAAGTTGCAGATTTTGGACTTGTTCGTCTTGCACCTGATGGTGGGAAAACCTCGATAGAAACCAGGCTGGCAGGCACGTTTGGTTACCTAGCTCCTGAATATGCAGGTAAAGTTAAATCCTTATGTATTGAGATATTCTTCTGTATATGTCTGCTTCAAAGTGATAAGCATAGTTAATATGGTCACCACTATATGATATGTCGCTTTCTAGTTTTAGTAAGTTAAGATTTTAACTTTATCATACCACCATTAATGATAATATTTTTGATTCAGAATTTCAAAGAAATACAATATCGGTATAGTAAAGATATAAATCTTTGATTGGTGAAGGGTAGTAAAGAAATTTCAACTCAAAGTTCTTCAAAATAACCTCCAATCAAATGTGGCCTATTATTCAAAGACAAAGGGGACAATTTATTTAACTAAGATGCTATCCGATCCTTAATGCTTTACTTGTCAAGGCTGTGCTATATCCTTAACAATGTTTCCTGATTTACTGGTATGAGATTTGGTACGGGTTGGCTACCTAATTTGTTAAATTGGGCCAAAAATACCAATTTGCTAGTAGAATTCACTATTTCGGTTTGCAGGGGTGGGGTCAAATCAGGTAACTCTGGTCCTAAATATTAACAAAACAGGAACTCTTTCCTAAAAAAAAATAATTATGACATGGTGTTTTGCTTACTGCTTATTCTTTTCCTGGCTAAATAATTGAATCAAGTAGAAGATCTGTTAACAGATATGCTTTGTCAACTGATAAAATAATAATTTAGCTTGGAGGAGCATGTTTGTCTTTGTGTGTGTGCTTGTGCAAGTTTGTTGGGGGTTATGTGTGAATTTTGACTGTTGATAAGCTTGTTTAATAAGGTCCATAAAAGCCAGAGGCCTAATAGAGTTAAGGCTTCCTAATAACAACTAAGCATCCACTGGCTTGACAAATTTAATTCTAGGATGTGCTTTAATTAACCTTCTAATCTATCTAATGAGAAGCAAGCTTCCTGTATTGGTCATTTTGCTGATAATATCTGTTATATTAACCAGTATCACCCACGAATAAGTGTTCCTTCAGAAGTCAACAATTCCCAATTTCCCCAGTTTTGTGTTATTAAACAAAACTAAAAGCAGGATAACACTTGCACACGCTGTTAGTGGGATGTTTCACTATTTACCTAGTAAGCATGGTTTGCAATTTCTGGGTATGACTACAGGCAGACTAAGATTGTTGGGGGAGGGGGGGGGGGATTCTGAGTTACTACCATCTGTGATCTGTGTTATTTAATAGTTTCGACTACGAGTACTTGATATTTATTATCTAATTCCCTTTTATAAATAGTTACTACCTATGAAATAAAATTTAGTAATATTCTCATCCATAAGTAAGGGTCTCTCTCTTTATCTCTTGGCATGAACATAAAGGTGTTATAATACCATGTTAGATTACTTGTTAGCTGCATATACAAAAAGGTAAAATGATACTCTGCTAGTTATCTGATATGTTGGTCTAATTCCTCTAACTTGGATTTGTGTTTTGTTTTGCCAGTAATGGGCCGCATAACTACAAAAGTTGATGTGTTCAGTTTTGGAGTGATATTAATGGAGATAATTACGGGGCGGAGGGCACTTGACGAAACCCAACCAGAGGACAGTGTTCACCTGGTGACTTGGTTCCGGAGGATGTACATTAACAAGGACTCTTTCCAAAAAGCAATTGATCCCACCCTTGAACTCAACGAGGAGACTGTTGCTAGTATCAATACTGTTGCTGAGCTGGCTGGCCACTGTTGTGCTAGGGAGCCATACCAGAGACCTGAAATGGGTCATGTAGTAAATGTCCTCTCTTCTCTCATTGATGTGTGGAAGCCTTCAGAAGATAACTCCGAGGACATTTATGGAATTGATCTTGACATGACCTTACCACAAGCCCTGAAGAAGTGGCAGGCCTATGGAGATAGCAACCTCGACGATTCTTCTTCATCATCCTTCCTTGCAAGTAGAGACAATACCCAAACAAGCATACCTACAAGGCCATCAGGGTTTGCTGAATCATTTACCTCATCCGATGGAAGGTGAGGTGGAACAGAACTGGTTTCCTATATGGTGAGGCATGAGCAGCTTATGGATTGATCTTGAAGATATATGTCACAAGTACCCCCGTCCTCCCCTTCTCCCCTTGTCTATTGATTCCTGTTAGCTACTTGTTTCTGTCCGACATGCTTCCTGCTTTTCTCTGATGTGTGGTGTTAGGAGGGGCGCTGATTGTGATTATTTAGGATCATTAGATTGTTTGTCTTCTAGAACAGGATGTTTTGAGGAACTAATCTGAGCAATATATGTATGTAGATGCCTCGGCGGTAGACCCCTTTGTGAGAGCATTGTTTGCATTGTGCGTCTCAGGAGAGGAATACAGATAAAACCTCGAGTGGTAAAACTTAGTTCCCAAATTTAGAATCAACTGAGTGTGTATTGTATAGAATTAATATTGGTATGTTTTTGCATAGTCATAAATTTTTTTCTAGATATTGTTATCTTCAATTATGTGTTGGATTATGGTTTTTGGTTGTGTATGTCTGTCTTTATTGATGGTGATTGCAGCTGATGATGATGGTATTTAATTAGATAAAACAAGGAACACGTATTTTTGCTATTTTGTCGAGGAATCTGTACTTATTTATTAATCCTATGATAAATAAATACAACATTCTTTGTTTATTTGACGTGACCACATGAAAACAAGTCAACTAACGTAGAAATTCCTAGAAAACTTTTATTGGCAGCTGGTATGGATAAACATTGCGAAGTTTGATTAGTTATTTACTTCATTGGACTATCATGATATTCTAACTTTGTTCTCTTCACTATATTCTTCCGCCATATTATTTTATTACTCTCGTATTAGAATTAGATTGATTCTAACAAGATTAGAAAAATTCATACCATACCATAGTAGATTGGTAGGCCATAGCTTTTTATTTTTGTTTGTTTATTGTTAAAATTAAAAGTCATGAAAAACAAGTATGAAGTATTTGAATTCAAAATCCTCATTAAGAGATCGGAGATAACAAAATCTCAATTGATACAACTTTCTTTATATACTCCGTGTATATTAGCGTACAACTACAAACAACGTTCAATTTGCATCAAAAAAAAAAATCAATCAACTTTCAATTAAATCAAATATGAAAAAAAGGGTTCAATCAAATAAGGATTTCAAATCATATCATATCGATTTAGACAAGGAAGATTCATATCATGATACCATGAAAGTTTAAATGATATGAATCTTCCTTGACTAAACCGATATGATACCATGAAAGTTTAAGTTTTATCTGTATTCCTCTGATCATGAGACGCACAATGAAAACAATGCTCTAACAAAGGTATCGATTTAGACAAGGAAGATTCATATAATGATACCATACTTTTAATTTCATATTAGATGATTCTTATCATAATACATATACTTTAAGTGAAGACATCAAAATCTTAAACTCAACTAAAATCAAATCCAAATAACCTAGTCTTGTTATTGCTTATCCTTTGCATTAATTATGATCAAATTACTACTATTTTAAGAGATGAATTTGCTTATCCTTTGCATTAATCAGGTTGCTCACGTTGCAAGATTGGTGAGATGCTAGTGTTGTTTTCTTGCATTGACCATGATTATACAACCCTTATATGGAATACATATCATGATACCATGAAAGTATGGATACCAATTTATCCCTTATTAATTTTTTTATCTAGAGTCATCATTTAAATATAATTTTTCGTATTCAACATAATAAAATTTCTTCAATTATCTCATATCCTTTTTATTTAAACTCCAAATTTTGTGGTTTAACAAAAATAAATGTGGCTCATTTCGAGCCATGGGGTTGGGTTGGACTTGACCTCTCAGACTAGATAATTATGTCAAAATCCACTAATAACAAGTCGGATTATACTTTGACCTAAACATGTATATATACACAAGCGAGGGAGTCCATGTTGTCAAAATTGTACTTCCTTCGTTACAAGTAGTTGACACATTACTTCTATCACATTTGTCAATGTATATTTAAGAGAAGGTATTGCATGTGTACGGACACACGAACTGTTTGGTGCGGGAGGTTTGGCTGATACATTTCAATCGTTGGCTGATATGTTTCATGTGTTGACTGATATGATTTTTGTGTTGGCTAATATATTCTTTTTGTTGACTGATATGTTTTTTTTTTTTCCCTTTTGTTGGCTGATCAAACATCATTTGACTTATATATTATTTAGTTGGCTGATATATTTATTTTGTTGGCTGATATGTATATTTTAATTGTTGGCTTATATGTTTCATTTTGTTAGCTGATATGTTTATTTTGTTGGCTTACATGTTGCTTTTCTTTGCTGATTTCATCCTTTTGTTGGCTGATATGTTCTTTCTGTTGGCTGATAAGTAGCGTTTGTTGGCTGATACATATCTCTTGTTGGCTGATATGTATCTTTTGTTGGCTGATAGGTTCCTTTTGTTGGCTGATACGTATTTATAAATGTCTAATATGTCTTGAATGTTGACTGATATGAAATATCAATTGGTTGATATGTACATATTAATGGCTGATATGAATTATGTATCAGCCAAGAACCCAAAATGTATAAGACCTATAAGCCAACAACCCAAAATAAGCCAATAACACAAATGTATCAGCCAAATAAATTCAAACTCACGCACTCCCTCGGTCTTAACCACAACACCACCCCTAAACGGCCAAACTCACACAACCATGCTGCAACCCCTACTCCATCCTTCAACCCAGAACAGAGCAGCGCAGGACCGCAACCACCAACCTTGCACCAGTCTCGCATCAATTTCCACACCTCCGCATACACTGCAACTACCCAGCCACCAACAACCACCCACCTTCCACCGCAACTACCAGCTGCATATTGCAAACCACCGGCCACCATAGATCGCAAACCACCGCCAATCGCAAACCACAACCAAAATCACAGCCCAAACACAAACCTGATCTAGGGTTTAAATCGTCAATCATCATCGTCGTCATCCACCATTGTCGCCATCGTCATCTTCATCGTCATTGTCGTCTTCGGGTCTTCGAACGCACAAACACTTGGGTGCGGATGGACGCACCCAATAGTTTGTGTATATTTAATTGAAAATATCTTTAATTATACTATTGTAAATATATTTAAAAAGTTTAATTTTAATTTTAATTAAGTACACGTTAAATGGATCTAACACATGTCTATATTTGTTTCATATATATATAACTCACAAATGTTAGTCATAGTAAGGTTTATGAATAATGTCAAAAGTCACAACATGTCAACTTATTTGAAGCAGAGAGAGTAATATTTTGAGATAAAACTAGTAACATCTAAAGTGATTCTAAGGTAAAATCGTTCTGCAATTTCATTACAAGTATGTCACTTTTTTTTTTTTTTTTTGGTATTCCACCCGCTTCACCCTTTAAGCTAATCTGGATTTGAGAATCAATTTTGAAGGGTTAGGTTTCAGTTTTTTCCCAATTATTATTACAAGGATCAAGTTTATCACCTATTTACATTCCAATATTTTCTTATACTCGATTACTCATACTATTCCTATAAAATATAGGCCTAATTTTTCTGGCCAAGCCTGCATAATTTTCGGGCCGGACTAATGGACCATTGATGATCAACTCTAACAACATGTACCGCATCGAACATTCGTACTCATAAAAATATAAAATTATGTGAAAATCCATAATTTGTCTTTCTCATTTTACATTTTCCATCAAACATGGAAGTTGAATTTCCATGCTAACTCCATGAAACCCGCTTTAAACACCAGAGACTGCAAACTGGCGCTTTAATTCAAAATTGGAAAGACCCAAAAAAAAAGAAGTAGGGTTTTGGTATTTTCTGTTGAGTGTTTATTTTCCATGGATCGTCTTCGTCCCAGAGAAAGAAAGGTCTTTTCTGGCTTCACAGATACCGAAGTAAGTATTTTTTTTGTCTGGGTATTTTTGTTTTTATGAAACTTTATTTGGGTTTTGATGAAATTTCGTTAATTTTTGTATTGCTATGAATTTACAGTGAATTCCCAATTTTTTTGGGAGGTGGGTAATGGGCAGTGCTGTTTTGCTTAGTGTTTTTCTGGGTTTTTTTATTAGATGTCTTAGGGTTAATCTGTTTAGTCAATTTTTGTGTTCGTATGTTGAATTCTATGGTTTAATTCAAGAATTTTATATCTAAAATGCTGTTTTTCTATGTATGCATTGCCTAATTTTTGTGCTGTAATGTGTCACCAATTATAAAAAGTCACCATTTTCAGTTGGAGGTTTCTTGAATTTACTACTTCATGGTTCTATTGAACTTTTATTAGAATATTCATTCCACTTTTTGTTAGCTTTGGAATTTTTATTGGGTATGGAAAATTGAATCTTTATAGTATATGAAGCTTGTTTCAATGTCATAGGAAGTTTGAATTTGTATTAAACATAGACTTTCATTTCTCTTGAATCCATATAGTGTATGATTTCCCATTCTAATGTCATACAAAGTAGAAAGAACCAAACAAGCTTAGTGGAGATGGTGAGGGATTCACGTCACAAGTTCAAGCCCTAGCATCTAATCATTTTGTGCTTGGGAGTTATGGATTTCCTTTCCTTTCTCCCCCTCACTCAAGCGTTGACCTATGTTGTTGGACTGAGAGGTGTTGGTTTAGTAGGAATTTTTCTCCTTACCAAAAAAAGGAAAATGTCATAGAAAATGTGTAAGACCCTTCAATTGTAAGACATGCTGGCTCTTTTTAGATGGTTGTTCGGGGAGGGGATGACATGTTTTTGGGCATTTGGTGTATGGTTGTGTATTAATTGCCCAGAGATCAACTATAACACTTTACTGTTCATTATGGACTTGTTAGTGGGTTATTTTAGTTTGATAATGTTTCTAGAATATCTTTTGGAGATGAATTAGGTGCTTTAGGCTGGACTAAATTGATTTACCTACTATCCTTAATCATGGATGATATGCTTTAGGCAGTCATGCAATTGTGAAGACTGCTTGTATGCCTCTACCTTAGTCAAGCCTCAATTGGAAGTAGGAGTACATGAGTGAATAATGTGTACTGAATTTTGTATGTCAGTTTTCTGTTTCAATGGTTGAGTTTGCACTTTAAGGCTATACAAAACTTATGAATGATTTACCTATGAATGTGCTAGCATGTGTATTAAGATTCATGTTAATGACCTCCTGAGTGATGTTATTGAATGTTTCAAGTTATATTTATTGTATCAAATTTATGGGTTTAGGTTAGTAACAGAGTTTGTGAGCCTTTAGCCCGTGCAGGGAGAACCCTTAAGTTATGAGTTTGCTTCCTGTTGCACTTGCTACACGCACTTACCTTTTTTATTACTAACAGGGAGTCAAGTGACGGTGTAGTAAACATTGGATGTTAAGGAATTACCAAAAAGAAGGTTTTTTTTTTAAAAAGGTATCTGAGACCAGTTCTATGGATAAATCGAGCTATTGACCTAGATGCGAGTCAAATGGAGAGTAGCAATTGGTTAGCATAGATGTGTCTGTTGAGAACTTGAGATGGATGTGTGGGAACGCCTTAAGGATTATATTAGTAATGGAGATATTTTGAGGACGTGAGAATAACATAAGAGGAAATTGATTGTGTTGGTTTGGGAATAAGACGGAGGCTAGAAGAAATACTAATAAGGAAAGTAGAGAGTTGAGAGCACGAGATCTAGAAAGAAGCCAAAGAAGAACAAAGTTGACTTGGATGGTGATATCTAGGAATTTGGGCTTATAGGAGCATATATCACTACAAGAGATGTTTTCTTTGATTCATGTAGCCAATCCTGTCATTGGGGTTAAGGCTCTGATATTGCTGTTGTTGTGGTACAAGTACGTACTTTATTATTTATTTTTTTTGTAGTAAGGAAGGACTGTAAAGGGAATCATTTGCACTATCACATAATTGATCTACAGGTTCCCTCATGTCATTTTTAGGGGGTCAGGTTCTGCACGGAAATATATTAATGCAGAATTTCTAACTTATGAAGAATTGTTTTTTCCTGACCTTTATCTGATTCTCCTGTCACCCCAAACCCCCCCCCCCACCCCCTCCCCTTTCTGTTTATCTTTATCAAATTTAAGCCTGTTCCGACTGTTGTGTGAGCAAGAAAATTAATGCTCCTCTTCTGTTGTATTATAGAGGGAGTTTTGAAATTGGTTTAATCCTTTAATATCTATTGACAGATTGAGAAGCTGGAATGCTTGTTTACAGAATATGGAGAATTGTCAGTCAACCGGGACTTTTGTGTGAAAGTTGCAAAGGGAATTAGGTAAATTTTGCAAGTAATTCAACGCCCTACTTTTTTTGCAACATTTTTAAGTAGCTTGGAAGATTTGCATGCTTTGACTCTAGACCTCAAAAGAACTTGTATGTATGCAGTCGATCTGCTGGGAGGGCTGGGAAACCTGTTGTAAAGTGGGATGAGGTGCTTTTTTTTTCCCACAATCTTATAACTTTCTTTCTCATATGTTCCTTGACACTCTTTTGTAATTTATGTGTAAGTCTCACTGCTTCATGTGTCTCTTAGGTGCAAAGTTGGTTCCAAAATAGGCAGAAAACAAGTCCAGTTAAAGCAGCTCCACCATCTATCAATCAAAAAGAAATTTCTCCTTCACCTGATGTGTCTAAAAATGTGGCTGCTCGTCCGGATGCTTCTGACCTGAAGAAGACTAATGAATCCAACCAGTGCCTAAAGGTATATATTTTGTTAATCTGGAGTTTAGATGAATTCATAAGCTGCATATGATGAATTCCTAGACAGTTGGATTAAATGGAGCTTGCTCCTAGTCAATCTGCTATCATATTTTTCGTTTAGCAGGGACTAAATATCATATCTTTATTTCTGCGATTATTTGTTTTTACTAGTTTTCAGAGAGAAAAGGTCAATAACTTCTATAGGGACATACCCATCTAGGGGCAAAGTCAATTTTATACTTATGAAAGTATTTGTGGCCTCTTAGTGGGGTATTGAGAATTTGACCTGGGTTAGATAATATTGAGACTTATGTTTCAGTGATTATATATACCATCTGACAATGCCTTCTTATCGGGAACTAAGAATGTACTTGAGACTGATTAGGATGTATTATTGTGATCTCTTCATCTTTTACTTTTTTGCTCCCATTTCAAGCTGGTTCCATATCTGTTTATTCTTTGGCTGTGAAGAAAGAGGCATCTTCTGTAAATTCCAGGTATCTTAGAACTTGTTACTCTCAGGTGCAGATATAATCGTCAGTTCTACAGAGCTGTTTTGATTGTGCAGTCTTGTGTTAGGCTGCCTCATATATCAAAAATTTTGTCTGCCTCATATATCAGAAATTCCCCTTTAAAAATATCAAAATTTTTGTCTGCCTTTTGTCCTTGAATCTTTTAGGCACCTTTAGATAATCATCACTTCTTTTAGCATAAATAATAGCTTTAGAAAATTCGTTTCACTTGTAAAATGTCTAGGTTACTCTTTTGATACAACAACCTGAATTGAAATCTTTTGTTGCCTAACTCCTGCTGTCTTTGTTTAAAGCAGGGGAAAAGTTACCAGATTTATCAGAGTTAGAGTTTGAGGCTAGATCAAGAGACGGAGCGTGGTAAGTTTAAATATCAAAGGCCATACATGGTGTAGTTCGTATGTTACACGAAGTTCAATTTTTTCTTCTTTTAAGAGGTCACGCTCTTAATTATTCAATGTCATATGTACTCGGCAATTGACTTTTATGGAAAATGATATCTGGAAAGCCTCAATGGCCTTGAACCTTGAAGCTATGGTGTCATGACTGTCATCACTTACTGACTCTGAAATCAGAAGCACTGGATCTTATCACACCTTGATCCAGAATACCCAAGTATAATTGCTGACTCCATGGAGTTATTTTTTTCTTGGAAATTAATTGACTGTGCTATAGATTTTATGGTTGAAAGTAACAGAGTTGGTAAAGAAGATAACTGTTCATGCTTGACTGGGGAATTTTTCTTGTCATTAGCTGTGTTTATAATATTGTGCCCTGAGGATTCTGACTTGTTTATGCCGTGAATTTTTGGTCTCCGCTTGCACTTTATCTCAGTGTTTGAAAAGGCGTGCCTCAGCCTAGGCTCTGAGGCGCAAGGCGTTAGGGGTCATGCACCTTTTGTGGTCTAGGCAAGGCGATTTTAATGAGGCGCAGCTAGGCGTGCTTAGGCTCAGCTTAAGGCGCACAAAAAAAAAATTTTTCAGAAATATTTTATTGTTTATTATATGCGCTTACTTTAATGAGGCACGCCTTAGGCACAGGGAACTCTGAAACGCCTTGGTGCGCCTTGAGCCTTTTTATATTGCTTTATCTGAAACATTGAGTTGGTGGAACTCTTTGCTTGTTTCAAGTTCCAATCTCTTTCTGCTGTAAAAAAAAATTTAGCGTGGATTCTTTGACCAAAAAATTTCTAGGTTGGATGGGGGGTTGAACAAAAAGTCATTTTGAGATTTTGGATTCATTTAGTTCCTAGTTATGTGCTCTTGTTGCAACCTTTCCATATTTACTTGTACTTTTCTATGCAGGTATGATGTTGAGAGATTCCTCTCCCACAGATTTCTCAGCTCTGGTGAAACTGTAAGTTCCAACGCTTTGTTTGGTTCAATATCAAAGGAAAACTTAATAAATCTATTCCCAAAGTTCAGTTTAATGGAAGGAAGTGAAAGGATTAAGTGGGAGATTATTAGACATCTTTTTAATTTTCTCTTTCCATATTCCTTCAATTTGGGAAGAGAGGAATGTAAAAATTTTATGAAGAAGCTTTCCCTTACCCTTCCTTTTCTATCAAATCCCATGTATATTTTGCAATTAAATATGGGAATTGATTACTTCTTTTCCTTCCAATTCCTCTCCATTAAAAAGGGCGCAAATTTTCTTTTACGATAGATGCCTAGATGGAACAAAGACATTAGTCCCTTCCACCCCAAGCTTCCCTCTCTCAAGCAAAAAAAGAAGGGAGAGTGGTGAAGAAAAGACGAGTTTGCGTGTTTACATGGTATTGTTGATTAATTCACAATGGTGATCTTTTGTACTATGTGATTAGATGCCTTCCATCCTCTTTAACTTCTCCCAATAAATTTTCACAGTGATCACTCTCGTTCAGCTTCATCCCTCCTTCCCCCACCCCTTCTGGTCCTGTCAGTTGCCTATCAACTTGAATGGAGCAATTTGGGAAAATAATGGACGGCACTTCTAGCAAGGTTAACAAAATAATATAAACATGATGGATCTGTAAGTCTTTTGTTATGATTCTTCTGAAATATAATAAAATTTGGAGATAATAGCCTTCATAACTTTGCCACCAAGTCCATATCTATTTGGAAGATGTTACTATACATCTAAACTGTAGGGCCCAGCATTTCTAGTGTGGTATCCTTCC